CTATTCTCAGAGTACTCCACTCATCGGTATCGATATATCGGTGGTCTTCAGATGGCCTCTGCAAAGGTCGACCGATCTCTAGACTTTAGATCAGCTTCTTGTTACTACTAGTAAGGCACCTGTTACTACTAGCGTGGCACTTGTTCCTAATAGCTTCTTGTTACTACTAGCTATCCATGAAGATACCAGAATGCGCTTTTCTTGTCCGAAATCGAATTGGTGTCGGTTGAAAACGAACCTGTGCAAGTCAGACGTGCGGTGCGGAATGCGGACTTCAGACTGAAAAGCTGCGGATCCCGAAACTTGAGAATCGATGTTTGACTGAAGTCGGGGCCTGGGTCATCCAAAGCAGGACGACACCTGTTCAGATGATCTTTGAAAAGTAGACGCCTCAGACGCCGGACGAAGACACCTGGGCAAACTTGGTGGTACATTTAGTTCCAGTTGGGGCCGCAAAGAGACACCATCCAAGCAATCTCCGGAGGTCTTCGGAGGAAGTTCAAAGTCGACCAATCGACCGTCCAGTTGGATGCAAGAGTCTTCAGTGTTTTCACGTTTACAAAGTTTCCAAGATCCTCATTGCTACAATAATATTGCAAATCGACGTACGGATGCCTCGTCCCATGGCAAATGGATATAAATGGTGTGCAATGATAAATCATACAGTGCGACTTATGGATTGAACAAAGAAACATGAACAACCTGTACCAGGAGCGCTATCCTACACTCTGGACAACATGTCCTGGCTGGCCTACCCACCACTCTCGACACCCTCGGAGACGGACACCCGTTTGATCCACCGTCTCCTGAGGTGAAACTGTCCAAATCCATGAGGAGTGCTGAAACGGCGCGGGCCGGTTGCGGGTGGAAGACGCCCCGTCGAACAAGACGCCCTGTGACAAATGCGCGGCGAAATGGTGCCAGTGGTTCCTTAGAAGGTGAAAAGGAAGAAACATGGGTAGAGGGAGTGATGTGTTCATCCCATCCCCAAAAATCTGAGAGGACATCCAATATGTTCTCAGGATAGGATGATTTGAGGCTTGAGGCATGTTGACCAGATCCGCGGGCAACACCTCAGACCTTTATAGTTGCCCAATGTTGCCGATACATGTTTGCATGATCTCATTCTGGACCAGAATCTTGCTCAAGATCCTAGTTGTAGTTGGTAGGACTACAGGACCTGGTTTGAGCCTGCAAGAAGTTTGGGGTCTCACCTTCACAGCCTCACTCTTTGGAAGTTGAACAAGAAGATTCAGGAATGTCAGGCACATCCACCTCATAATCCAGAGGCGCAATATCCAGTCTCCTATGTTTGGCCGCGAAAAATCCCAGTTGCTCCCCCAAATCTATGTGTCTCAATCCCCACATGAAAGCAGGCAGACTTGTAACATCAGTGCCATGGGCCATGGGTCGTCTTGGGGGTTGTCATAAATTGTGACATGGACTATGAATTTTGAAGGATCCTCTGCAGGAATTTATGCTCCTTGAACCATAAATAGGAGCCGAACATAGCCGAACCGTTAACGGCAAACGAGGACAGATGTGCTGCTCTACTACAAGGAGAAGAAGATGCCAGTGACGTGTCAAAGATCTGGTCATCGTGCTCATGGCGACATTAGTTCATCAAGACCAAACCATGGAGACAAGATTTGTGGGAACTCAAAGGGCCGCGATCCTGGGAATTCAAAAGGCAGCGATCCTGAGAATCGGCGCGTACCAAGCTTTGGTGATGTTCCATTCAGGTCGGTACATCGCTGTCGAGATCGGATTACTTGTAACGGATTGAAGATCACTTGTGATGGTCCAAGAGCATAAAGAACGGATCAAACCCTTGAAGCAACATCTCATTTTGCAATTTTTCGCCTCTCTAATCATCACATGCGCGGGTTCCCCACCCATTGAGGTCTTCCTCTCCAACCCTGCGCCAGTGATCCAGAAGATCACGCCTCCGTTTGGGGGCCTGGCCGAACCTGTCGGGGCCTGGGAAGGTGGAGGAAGTCTGCTATTCATGGCAGTCCCAAATCTCCTTTTCCTGATATTTTTTGATTGATCAAATTCCCCATATGGAGATGTAAAACATTGTAAAGTCATTCTGGTAGGGGCCAGAGGCGGGGGTTATTAGTTCAATACAACAAAAAGCTTACATTAGGGGATGCAGGACTCCTGGACTCCTTCACTGATCGACCAGTTCATCCCAGTGCCAGATCACACATCGGAAGTTCAGTGGTTCTTTGCCACTCCTTTGATTGGCACGTCAGATTTGAGGGACCTGAATTGGCTCAAACTCAGACCTGCCAAACTGGACTGGTTGAGGTTGAAACGTGTGCTTCACCGTCCAGTTTGCTTCATGTTCGAGGGCTCTCGAGCCCAGACAGGTGACATCTCTCGGGTCAGATCCACGGTTGGTGCATTTCTCTTCGCACAAACACCCGACATGAGAATCCGACCGTCCAACTGTTATGATTTGATATGATTTGTCTGGCTTTCTGCGGGATATGACAGGTCGAAGCAAATGGGACTTCCCTCCAGTCGGTACTGAAGGCTTATCGGCAGTCCATCAGCAGGACTTCGACGCCCAAACACCACCACTTTTAGGCACCGAATCCCGAATCTTTGTCGGAACATCTCCCGAAACTCGGAATGTTTGGGATCCACCGACTAAGTCTATATATAGATGTCTATAGTCAGAGCATTTCTGACTCCGACAGGCACGGTTCGTCTGACAGAGCTGGTCGAAGGCCTGCGCCTTTGGACACGGCGCCATCCTCCGCGTCCTCCGGGTCGTGCGGAGCCCTATCAAGCAGCGTCCTTCGTGTGAAAGCGTCCTTTGAGGACGCACCCTGATTGGAGGGTATGTTCTGCTGGGAGCTGTAGTAGATGTACTTGATGTTTTGGTTTTGGGCTGAAGAAGGTTGGGAGTTTGGGACATGTTGGCCTAAAAGAACAGGGCTGGGGCATGGCGGGATCTTTGGATCTTCAACTTCGACAGGTCTTGAGGAGTTGACCAGGTCGGCCCAGTTTGACGGTGAACACCTGTTTGTTCATGTTTGGGAATTTGTTCTGTACTATTAATTATACCATATTATACCCGTGTTTCCCAGACTCGGAACTGCCAGAGGACGATCAGAGCTCTATGTGTGGGAACGGCCGTATTGGATTTCTTGATTCTGCTTCCAGAGTTGGTCCGGGTGAAAACCGTTTTGCAGGTGTAGGCGTGCTTAAAACATCTGAGCCCTTGCCAAAACGTACTGTCAAGATTTGTCAAGTGATTCAGCAAGGTTATCGCCTTTGCAAGTTATTGCCACAATGTCAACAACTGAACATATCCAAAAGCTGCGGAAATCTGGCTATCGCTTTTGATGGCTTTTGCAGGTTTGTTTTATCCCAATTCCTGACATGTACGAACGCTCTTTACTGAATTAGTCTTTGCACGGTTTGGCGGTTGCTCAAGCTTCCGCTCTGGGGAATCTTTGGGATATTCTAACCGAAAGACAGAGACAAAAAATCGACCGACCATGACATCAATTGAGACTGACTCCCTTCAGTTCTCATGATCATGTGTCTTAAATGTTTGCTAAAAGAGGGAGACCAAGACCAGGCCAAGTCCTTGTGTTTCAAAACCAAGAGGCATCAACATGCAATCGAATTGAGTGACTTCAGTGAGAACATCTTGCAAGACCATCGAGACTCAGGGTGTACCAAAACCCTTCGGTTGCTTGCACTCTTTGAGACAACAACCAAAGAGAGCGTTGCGCCCGAAACCTTTCCACAACAAGCTCTACCCACTCACCGCGTGACCGCTCTCCGAGTTCAGAAGGAAGGGAAGTCACCCGACTTCATCACCCAGTTCCACCCGGCACCAGTAGCCTGGGCGCGATGTAGGCTTCCAGTTCGTGCTCGAGTCCACAGCACCATGCAGCATTGGCAGCAGTACGCCATCCACAGCAACCGTGGGAGTTGGGAAGTTCGGCGACCGTGGGTCTATGTTTTAGGGAAGACCTGTTTGGCTCGGGCAAGGTGATTTTGTGGATGAAGTGCGTGTGTGATGGCAGCCGTAGGGGTCCTCCATGCAAGCCGATCAAAAGCCCTCGTTTCGCAGCTTGACAGTGTTTGGGCCAATGCCATGTAGCAAGATTGATTGTGTGTGAGGTGTTGCCAAGTATTGCTTCGATGCGATTATAGATGTTTGTTATTATCGACTGTAAGCCCCAGTGTTATCGTTGTGAATTCAGAGAGGAGAGCATGTTTACATGAAAAGAGTGGCTGACCAAATCGTGGCATCAACTTGCAAGATGTGATCGACAAAGCAAACTTATTAAGCTATTAAGCTGAATTCAGCATTTGACGCTCAACAGGGTTGATGGCACCCAGGATTTACATGGGTTGACCTACACAAGTAGAAAACAACAATGAATTGAATCATCAATGATGTGTTACACAAGATAAATTTGAGCTCCTTTGAATCATCATGGAAGTGGTAAAAAAACACCACCCATGTTCATCCATATTCCACTTCCATGATCATTCCAGGGAGTATCTAGCAGGGCCTAGCAGGGCCTACACCAGGCCGTTCGGACCGTTCATCTTTTGGATCGGGCCGTTTGGACCGCAGCCAGCCGAGGGTCTCCCGGTGTAGCGACACGAGTTCAAGCGACAGGAGTTGATACGCATCAGTTGAAGGAGCATGCTTCGAGCCACGATGTCAGTTGCGGAATTCGTTGCGGAATTCTTCAGCTAGGGAGCAACACAACTTTAGAGAGTGCAGACACAAAGCGAATCCTAGTTGTACACAACATTGGGACCCTTGCATGCTGGTGGTTCACAGGGTGCTTGTGCTTGGTGATCAAGAAAGCTTGTGTGACTCCGTGGAGACGTGCCACTGTCAACTTTGTGACTGAACATGTCCAAGTATGTTATGTTAAAAGCAAGAAGGACCATTCCAACTGAATCAGCATCCAACAATCCAAACTTCAAAGTAGGAGAAGACATGACCAACCACAGCAGGAACTGAAGATCCTCCTCCGTCTCGCCCGACCGGTGCCATGCCTGTCATTGAGGGTTTGGGACGACTTCTGGTGCCAGAGGCTGACGCCACCTATGCCACACCAACACAGGAGGGGTGGTCGACCAAAATCACAGACCTGGTAGCTCAACAACCTAAGGCTAAGGAAATGTGCTACCCAAGTGCACGCAACCGCACTACTAGCAGGCTGAAGATCCACCGTCTTCTGCTTCAGATCCTGCTTTGATGGCGCAACTCCTACAGTTGGTTGCAGAAGTGTATGTGGGTGTTGAAAGCTATCTCACTTTCATGAAGATACGAGACAAAAGACTTGGGACCAAACCTTTCACCTCCCCCCTTTTCCGATCTTTTCCGTCATCAGGACTCACCAGCGAAGGTGGGCCACGTGGCCTCGCTGATCGACACCTGGCAGAACAGCCCCATGAGCGAAGCCTTCTCGCCGATGGGCGCACGCAGGCGCCGTGCGCCGTCGTCGGATACGGCCAGGACGATGGCAATGATCTCTTCCCTATACCCTAGGCCAGGGCTCCTGGCCCATCGGCAGAAGGTAGGAACTGACCAACCCCAGATAGGAAATAGGTGGAGTGGCATAGGCCTTATCGCTGACAGCTCACTCTGAGTGAGAAAAACCGTTCATCTTTGTCTGACACGGAACAGCTTGGCTTGACTGGGAAATTGACAGGTTTTGATGCGAGATCTTGTTTTGGTTCCCTTGGGAGTATGTTGCTTTCCCGATGGATTGTGTGTGTAGGTCATTTTTGTGGAGCGGTGCTCTATCAAGAGGATGTGGTAGTGGCACGTTGATCATGTGGATGTTAGGCAGGCCCATCAACCATGATCCATCATCATTGATCATCAATCAACCATAATCGACCAAATGATCCAAATTGGCAGGTGCTGATGCGTGTCTCACGACAGCAATTACAAATCATGTGGGTCGTGTTCCTTTTCGTGTCCCGGTTCAGGACCCAGAAGCTTTTCGTCGACGGCCGCATCAAAGTGGAAGACATCTTAGACTTGGCTGAGAGGCCGATCTTTTTCCGCCACCAGCTTTTGTTGGGATCTCTCATCAGTTTTAATGGCCCACCAGTTTGTTGTTTGTGTGTTTCTTTGTTTGCTGGAAGCTTGCTGCATTGGGGTGCTGGAACGCTTTTTGGGTGCTTTCGTTGTTGGACACGATGCCGCTGGTGGGTCACCATGATTTCATGTGGGAACGCTCCAGCCTTCACATCACTGCCACTGCGCCCCCCCAACAAAAATATGTGTCCCGAGCATGGAGCTGAGCTGTGTCGGCCGTGTCGGCCTTCTTTGTTCCCTGTAGCAGCTTGTACTTACTGTGGACTGAGCTGCTCAAAAAAAGAACAGCATGCACACCCAAAAGCTCCTAGTAGCGTCCTTGCTCCTAGTAGTATGGCCAGGAGCCCCGTTCGTAGCGTCCTTGCTCCTAGTAGCGATGCCCTTTGCTCCGTTCCTAGCGTCCTCTACTTCCCCTGCGGTCGGGGTCCGGAGTGCAACCAGGCTGGCACGTGTGGAGACCCAGCAGCGCATCCTCCACGAGTCCCTGGCAGGGATCGAGAGGGGAGGAGCGCTGAACCGCTGCGAGGAGCAGGAGGCGCCGGGAACTCGACGGGTCCTTGTTACTAGTAGCTTCTTGTTACTGGTACTAAGGCCAGGAGCCCCTAGTAGCATCCTTGCTCCTAGTAGCGATGCCCTTTGTTACTAGTAGCTTCTTGCCGGTACGTGGTTGGTAGGTATGTGATGTTGTGGGTCATGGCACCACGATAGCTTGGTTGGCCTACCATGCTGCTGGGGCTCCAGGTGTTGACAATTACATATAATTGCAATATATTGCAATATGATGCAATATGTTACGGTTTTACGATACATATATATATACATATGTATGTGATGATCGACGGTTCTTTTAGGTTAGTTGAGAATATGTAACGTTCGCGCAGGATGAGATTGACCTGCGGTGGATGACAATCGTGTATGTAAGTCCTTATGAGTTTGGAGTTGCTGAAAGTATCAATCAATATGCATGCCGCATGGGGATAGATGTTACAATCAGGCTGAATGTAAGTACTTTTGGAAGCACTGGTTGCTGTCTGTGGTTGTTGTCCACACAAAGTGCCTCAAAAGAGTGCAAAAACACTGATGGAATGTGGAAGTGCCTTGATTGTAAATCCTTTTGCAAAGAAATGTGTTTTGGGATTGTTGAATGGTTTAAATATGCTGTTTAAATATGCTGTTAAAATGCTAAGTCACTCTTGGCAGAGTACAGTACCGATTGCTGCACAGGTGAATGGAAGCACTTTGAAGCTTCGTTTGGAGGCGCTGGCAAAATTCATAGAGACCCGAGAAGTCCAAACAAAGCAAGTAGGGTTTGTCACGTCCTTCAAGACGAAGGAAGGCAGAACCAGTGACCTGTC